CCTCACTGAAACATGAAAAGAAAAGTTGTAAGAGTATGATAAAAATTTTGCATTATTCATTGCAACTTATAAAATTCAAAAACCTGTAAAGTGACATTACAAGTTATTTGTTGATAGACACCCCCTGGACCCTTCGATTTGTAATTCAAGTTCAGGCTTTTCTTATGACAAAAACTTTGACCAGTCGAAATTCCATTGCACAGTCAGCTATACCCTTATATTTTGTTGTTTTTAATCGTTGTTATACATTATTGTCAGATTGGATAATATTATAATGATGCATAATAAAATAACGAGTACCGGTATGTCAACACCCTGCATCAAAGGAAATGTTAATATTTAAAAGTGCATCTTATTCTAAATGTGAATAGTAAATTTACCCAGCAGCACAGTTGCATCCAGCAGCATGAACCTTTCCAGATACTTTGGACAGACAGGCCCATGGTTCATAATCCTTCTTTTTAACATCAGACCCTGGTAAGGACGGTATAACTTTTGCTCTTACGTAGCAGTGGGAACATTTAGGTGATATCTGATTGTACTTCACACTATGGACATGTCCATCTTCGTAGAACACTTTGGCTTTTAATTGTTTTCTCACATTCATGTTCTGATTGTCAAAAGTGCGTGAACGGTTTAACACAAGGTAATTGTATAAATCCTCCGTCCTGAAGAAGGGAATTTTAGCACATCGTCCTCCCAACAACCTTTTAAACTTCCTGGCTCTGGCAATTTTTCACCCAGCGAAGTGGTAAATAATTCTTCCTGTCGTTCAAGTTTGTTGTTGTTGTCCTGAATATTAATCTCTTGTAATGTCCGTTTTCGATTTGCACAATGCCTTGAGCACGTTTTATTAACTCTGGTCTATTTCCTGACACATGTGCTCCTCTATCTCGTAAATAAATCTTGAGTTCACGCACTGATAATTTATCAAATTGACACGGATCACCGACCTCTTTATTCGACGCCATTTTCTTTGCTCACTGGCAGTTGACGTCAACTACAAACGATAATTTAGCAAGGGAGATAACAAAGGTTATTGAATAGGACTGTATGTACAGGAAAAATCTGGAGATTGGGTGAAAAGTCGGGAGATTTTTCCAAAGCGCGTAAATTCATGATTTGAAACTCCAAATTGATTCTTTTTAAATAAGCCTTAGGCCTATATGCCATGTAAATTAATTAAATTGATCATAGGCCTACATGACACAGACAAAAATTAACAAATCCATAATTAGGGATAGGCCTACCCAGGCAAAATAACTCTAGAAAAGATTACACCTGATGAAGGTCAGTTCATGACCGAAATTGCAATTGTGTTTTTGAGGAGTTTTTTCATTTTTTGTTATCCTATTTGTTGTAAGTTTTTCGTTTTTTCATATTTTTGTTACACACAAATAAATACTATTTGTGTACTTTGATTTGTTACACCACTATTTACCCCTTCCTTCAAATCATAAACATACATATTGTTATTATTCTTGTTACCAATTATCATGAGCAACTTATGGCAACTTTTATTCTCACCCCAACCATTGGCAGGAAAATTTTTACCACTCTCGTCCGCATAATCCACGGTCGTACAACCCACGTCCCTATATTAACCCCTATGCTTGGCAAGAGCAGATCCCTCGTCAAAAACCCTACTACCCTAACAATAGAGGCCAATATCACAGGATGGAAAGACGACCGCATCATGGACAGAACAATAGACATAGCAATAGACAGAAGAATAGATCACATTTTAATCAGCACAGGAACAGACAGGGCAAAAATTTCCGTAGAAACCACCAACAGAACCACAATAGAACCAACAATCAACAATCTGGACTATCAGAAACATCTGCCGCTTCGATCAGAATGTTCTACCAACTTCTGCAATGCCTTCACCATATCAATGTGGTATCAAAACAATTGGATGGTTCTTTAAGTCTTGACCTTTCGAAAAAGGTCTCTCATCTGAATGAGTTCATTCAACCTGCTCTAAAAAATCCCATCATCTCTTTGGCGATTGAAAAAATTAATCAAACTTGGGCAACAAGTATTCTTTCAGCTCTAAAAAATCATTATAATTCCATGGTAAAAACTAAATTAGACTTGATCAAATCACACTCTTTTACGGACATACAAATTGAGTCTTTTTCGTCTGAAGCTTTAAATTGGGCTAGGAAAGTTTATAAATCTCGTTTACAACAAACTGTAGTCGAACAGTTCAAATCACTTTTGGCAGATATTAAAAATACGGCTTCAGAAGCACTTGAGGATATGGATGTAGGCAATGTAGAGTTGGTAGAAGTATCTCTTCCTCCAACTACCAAAAACAGATTTAGTTTCATGCCACAATCCACTGGGAAACCAAAACGGAACAGATCATATTCCCCAACAAGTTTTCCATCCTCTTTTGAAACTCCTTCAAAACGAAAACATATCTCAAGCCCAAGATCTTCTCTACCGTATTCACCTACAGACCAACCTACTAGTTTGCTTTCCACTTCAAATATAGTGAACAAAAATACACCATCTACTTCATCATCACCTCACAGATCTCTCACGATTGCACCGTCTTCTTCAGCATCTTCTTCATCATCACCTCGTAGGTCTCTTAAGATTGCACCGTCTTCTTCTGCAGCATCGTCTTCATCATCTTCTTCAGCATCACCTCGTAGGTCTCTTACTTTTGATAAGACACTCACCCCATCTTCTTCATCATCAACTTCTTCTGTCACCAACCAACCAGCATCATCTAGACCCTCTACTAAACCACACGTTCATACCCGACAGAGTGATAAATCCAAATTCAATCTACCAAAACCAACCAAACCTATTCTCATCATTGGATCGTCAAATTTAGGCCGTATCCCAGAAGGCACGTCAGAAACCCAAATAGAGAGCTTTCCAGGCGCAAGAATCTGTCATTTGAAGTCTATAATCACTAAAGCAGAAGCCAGTCAAGTACCAAATAAAGTAATAGTACATGTAGGTCTAAATGATAAACAAGAAGGTGGTAATTTCATCCACATCCAAATGTTGGAACTGCTGTCAATTGTCCGAAACAAGTTTCCAAAAGCCTCCCTGTATGTCACACCGATACCAGTTTCTTCATCTTTAAAACGAGCATGTCCTGGAGCCTTCAAGAACCTATCAAAATTCAATGAACTTATCACAGCTAAACCACCAACCAATACCTCTACCATTCCAGAATACTCCGGATTCATTAAAGTTCAAAACGACAATATTCATTGGACAGAGATGACAGCCAAGAATATATTTTCTCACTGGATGGCCCATTTAAACTAGATGCCGGGGGTGGACCGAAAGGATAAAACAGTAGTGAATCTGAGCTCAAGATCATTATCTGTAATGGAAGAAAGTCTATTGGACAAAGGCCTTAAATTTATACCCACGGCAGTGCCTTCATCCATTGACAAAATTTTAGATGTCACTTGCAAATTCGAACGATTAATAAAACTGGCCTATTTTTACAGAAAAACCCTTGGTAGAGGAACCTGGAAGAAGTTTGTGGAAAAATATGAGTGGACTCCACCAGATGCCCTAATACATACCGATATTTTAGAAATTTGCGATAACATGCGATTTGAAACTTCTCTCTTACCATTGGTAAAAGAAAATAGCAATTTGACGCGCGCTGAAAGGACTATTTTAAACAACCTAAAGAAGGATAAAAATATTTTCAAAGTGATAAAGGAAGCTCGTGTGTCATCTTAAACCGCGAAGATTACATTAAAGAAGTTGAAAATCAATTAAACGCGAACATTACCAAATTTTAGATGCTCCGATTTTTAAAGAAACCAGCAGTGTGATTAATGACATTTTAAAAAAATTAGTGAATGACAAAATTATTTCAGATAAACAATACGACTATCTTTCGGCCAGTTCTACGGCACATCAACGGCATATTTATACCCTCCCGAAGATCCATAAGAACCCGGAAACAGAATGGTTTTTACCGAACATTATACCTAAGGGTCGACCAATCATTTCAGACTGCTCCAGCGAATCTTATCGAGTCTCGGAATACATTGACCACTTTTTGTTACCTTTAGCGTGCCAACATCCATCATATCTAAAAGACACATCCGATTTTGTTGAAAAAATAAAGAGTTTAGAAATCCCGGAAAATGCCCTTTTCATATCCATGGACGTTAGTAGCATGTATACCAATATTGACTACGAAGCCGGTTTGAACGCTGTAAAAAAATGCTTTGAGAGAACTCCTGATCCAAAACGGCCCGATCCTGAAATTCTTAAATTACTCGAAATTTGTTTAAAACGGAATGATTTTTATTTTAACGGTAAGGTTTATCTTCAGACTTCAGGAACAGCAATGGGTAAGAGATTTGTCCCAAGCTATGCCAATATATTCATGGCTGAATGGGAACGCGAAATTGATTTGATCTCTCCTTTCAAACCACTTTTCTATGGACGGTTTTTGGATGACATATTTTTAATTTGGCAACATACTATTCAGGAATTCTGGCAATACTTCGAAATTCTAAATAACCATCACCCATCAATCAAATTAACAGCAGATATAAGTAATCACAGCATGGACTTTCTCGACACAACAGTATTCAAAGGACCAGATTTTAATGAAACTAGGAAGGCTGATATTCAAGTATTTTTCAAACCCACTGATACCCACCAACTTTTATTGAAAAGCTCTTTTCATCCTAAACATACATTTTCAGGCATAATAAAATCGCAAGTTTTACGGTTCCGTAGAATTTGCACCAGAACAGAGGATTTTGATGATGCGTGTCAATTAGTCTTTAAGAAATTGCGAGAGCGGGGATATTCAAAACGATATCTCCGCAGCATTAAAAGCAAAACTCTTTCAGAAATTGAGAATCGGAACACAATCCTCATTCCGGTAAACTCTAATTAATCTTTCGGATCACGGCCGTGCAGATCTACAAGATGTAGAACCTGCGAGCATATTTTAACAACCAATTCTTTCTCTAATAAGCATAACGGTAAACAATTCCCTATTAACGGTGAGCTTTCTTGTACCAGCACAAATATCATTTACCTAATTTCATGCGAAAAATGTCATTTACAATACGTAGGCGAAACTAAAAACTCTTTGAGAGAAAGAATTAACGGCCATCGTTTTGACATCTCCCATCATCTGGATAAACCTATTGGGAACCATTTCAACTCTCTCAACCATTCACTCGCAGATATGAAGGTGGCGCCCATTGAAAAGGTCATCGCAGAAGAAGACACCAACCCTAAAAGTTCAAGACTATACAGGGAGAGCTTTTGGATGAATCAACTAAAAACTATTTCACCCTGTGGACTAAATATACAGTTTGATTCTCAAATAATCCCATTTGTTGCTCCATTCAATAACATTTCTTGCCAAGCATCCCGAATTATCAAAAGATACTACACAGAGTTACAAAATAAATTTCCCACTATTTTTTACAAAAAATTAGTCATAGCTTATTCGAAAAATAAAAATCTACAGGATATAGTTGTTCGTGGTTGACTTGACCCCACCGATGATGTAGAGTGATCTAACAGAATTAAATATTCTCATTTTATTAACTGTCTTTGTACTTTATAGTACATAATAGTCTAAAACAATTTACTTTCTATACCTGCAGCCATTAATCGCTTTTCTTCATTATTCCAGAAAATTTGAAGCAGTCAGAGTTTTTATGATTCTGTATTTTCCACAGACAATTGTCCCAATAATGTTATTTCCGTAAATGTAGATTATAAGTATTATGAATTTCTTTATTAGGTCCAAGAAGATCTATATGATAACCGTTATGATCTTCTTTGATTTAATTCATTGCATATTAGCATCACAATTATTGTTAACATAACTTTAACCCTGTGCCAGTGCCTTATATTGAATAGTAACTTATTACTCTTCAATCACCCTAATCTCTAGAAATAGTGCCTGATATGTCAAATTTAGGGGCCCAAAAAAATCTAATTTTAACCCTGTGCCAGTGCCTTATATTGAATAGTAACTTATTACTCTTCAATCACCCTAATCTCTAGAAATAGTGCCTGATATGTCAAATTTAGGGGCCCAAAAAAATCTAATATTGTCATTCTTCACTATTGATTGAATAAAAAATGATGTCAAGGTGAAATGATGTTTGAAAACAAGAAAGCAAGCATGATCCCAGCCCTCTAAATTAACTAGTACCGGTAGGCCTACATAATAATAACATATTCAAAAATCAGTATGTTCTGAAAGCAATATTTAGTAAGTAATATGTACTGGCAATGTTACTTTTTCCAAAGGTGTAATTCATGACATCTTAAATATCTCGATTTCGATCATTAAATACTTTTCCTGGAACACTCTCACGAAGTATTGAACTGAATTTACCGCTTCCATTTTGACGTTCTTCAGAATGGAAAGACTTGTAATAAGTAAGCCCGTTATGCTGGCAATAAATGAATGTTTACAGGCTACAGTAAAATTACAAAACTATTTTAGGAAACGAATTTTGAGTTTACATAAGAATTAGACATCCAGTCGCGTATGATAATCTACCAATAATAACAAAGTGTTCTGAAACGACGTCTATGTTATATAGGCCTATTATAGACCTCATAGATTGACACTGACGGTATAAAATACTGAGAAGACTTCAAGATTTCGTTTTTTAGTAAAAGTAGGGCTACCGTAAAATTTCTGTAAAAGCGAAAGAG